GTGGGGAAATGGGTGCGGCGGTGGGTTCGAGGAATGGCAGCGGTGGTCGGATGGTTGGTGGGTTAAACTGCAATCGGAGTTAGCGATTAGTAATTGATATTGCACAGGGGTATAAACGTTAATTTAGTATAATTTAGGGCGAAATAATTTAAATTTTAGGACGACGAATAGCGATTCAGTTGTTTAAATACAAGATTTATAAGAATCAGTTATTTAATTCTTGATTTGACACCTAATTTCCCCTCCAAATTGCTACCTTGCTTAGTTTGTCTCATTCCTTTCTACGTCTGCCTTTCTCTCTCTCCCTCTATATTAGCTCCAGCCTCCAGCTCAGGTGGAGGAGGTCCCATGGAGTCTTTCCCTCCCTCAATCCTTCTCTAGGGTTTTTCTCCCTGGCGCTCTTTAGCCTTTTTCGTTTATATTCGAACGTTGGCGATTTCTTTTATGTTGCTCCACGTGAAAGTGCCACGGGGATTGATAGAGATATGTTAAGAAATTCTTCGAGCTGCATTGGGGAAGATTCTCGTTAGGGTTTGTTGCTTCTCCTTCTTCTGCAGTTATCGGGGTTTCAATTGAGTCGAACGTTCGATTTGGAAATGCCTGCCCACAGATCGAAGTCGGAGAAAGAGGATGCCGGGAAGCAGCTCCGACGGAGCCCTTACGAGGTACTCGGCGTCTCGAGGAACTCTTCCGACCAAGAAATTAAGAGCGCTTATCGGAAAATGGCCCTCAAGTAAGCTGCTGTTTCCTTTATCTTGTATCCTTTGCTAAGGCATCTTTCTGGGTTCTGGAAGTCTTTTCTTCTCTTCTAGGAGTTAATGGAATTGGTTTTCTGGTTGTAAGTATTGGAAGGCATGTAATTGAGCAGAGCAATTCGCAGTCTCGGGTTTTTTTTTGTAGATTTTTTTACTTAAAATTGTTGATGTTCTATGTGTTCCTGTCAGCGAAGTGTCAATTTTGAATCAAACACGGGGCAATAGTTTCTTACCTTTGTCTTTGTGTTCCGAAAATGGAAACTTCGAATTCAAAGTTGGACTTTTATCACTTTTACAAATTGACCTGGTTAAAGATTTACATAAGAGGGGCCTTTGGCAGCAAAAAGGTGTTAGCTTTTGTTCTCGTGGCTCCAGACTCCAGAGGCAAGGAGTTGGGAATTAAAACTGTTGTGAGATTCAAATAGTTTGGTTTTGGTGGTGTATCTAGGATAATTGGATTGGTGGGTGGGAGGGACTAACTGTGAAATGAATAAGGCCTCTTGCTGTATTGGCTGAAGAGCAGAAGGGCCAAGGTTATTGCACATGCTCGTATAAATCGTGACACTACAGGTAGAAGAGCAAGGTTAACTAGATTTCAGGGGGGTTGATAAATTTACTGCTGATTAGGTGGTTGTATGTCTTGGCAAAAAGTTTAAAATAGGTTTTAAGGAACCGAAATACTTCATGTTTTTGTACCAACCTTCGCTAGACGTGGTTGATAGATTGCTATTTGGAGTTCTTATCACAACGGGTATTGAGCTTGATGTACTTGATGTGGTTAGTGGTAGAGGCGAAGGGAATCCAAAACATGTTAGCTATGGTCGTGCTGTTTTTTTATATCAAGCAGAAAAGGTGATTCTATTATCCCTGCGACTGAATATGTGTGGCAACTACGATTAACAATCACCATTCATGTATACGGTGATTTGGTTATGCAATTGTTTTGTTTCTCCTACGTTTTGTTTTCTTTTAATTTGAACATTCCACTTTCTTTGAACTAGTCAAGTGTGCGGACGCTGATGGTATAGTGTCTCAGGTACCATCCTGACAAGAATGCAAACGATCCAAAAGCAGCTGATATGTTCAACGAAGTTACATTTTCATACAGCATACTGTCTGATCCGGACAAAAGACGCCAATTTGACAATGCTGGTTTTGAGGTAATGTTGTTGGAGTGTTACCCTAGCAGTTATAGAATCCTGTCGAGGGATGTTTGTGTATCTTCTGGCACATATATCACATTAATTTTTTTTTTTTTTGTGTGGAAATATTAAGATAATTCATTGGCCTGGGCTTTCCTGATCCAGTGCATCTCAATTGATGTTAGAAGCATTTTGCACCTTGCAATTTTCTCCCCAACTGTGGTCATATGAATGCTCCCTCTTTGTTGCGTCAGGCTGTTGAGGCAGAAAATCAAGATCTGGAACTGGATCTCTCAAGTTTAGGAGCTGTGAACACTATGTTTGCCGCACTATTTAGGTAATTTCATTGATCTTATGATTTAATCACTGGTTTAACATGTAGTTTCTTGTGCTTTACTTACAGAAATGCTTTTCTATTAGCATATTTTTCATGTTTGCATTTGTGTCATCTTGTAGTAAACTTGGTGTGCCCATCAAGACAACAGTATCAGCCACTGTATTGGAGGAAGCACTTAATGGTGTGGTTCCCATTTACCCACTTGAACTCGGGCATCCAATTTCTCGCAAGGTGCGATATATCTCCTGGTTCAGATGTTAGTTTTACCAACTTCATTTGTGCTCACAGAGATTGCACTTCGAAGCAGGTTGAGAAGCAAAGTGCTCACTTCTATTCTGTCACAATCTCAGAGGACGAAGCAAAAGCTGGTTTTGTTTGCCGAGTGCAATCATCCGAAAAAAGCAAGTTCAAGGTTTGTAACATCAAACCGTAGTTAATCCCTGTACAGAAATTCACTGAAGATCTCTGCCGGCTAGTTAATTTGACCATTAGTCTTACTACTTCAATGCCTTTGCAGTTATTGTACTTTGACCAGGAAGAAAACCGTGGATTGAGCCTTGCTTTACAGGTACAGAGAAATTGTCACTTCTGGTTATCTGTAATTTTTCTTAGTAGGACAGGTACAGTTTGTCCGATTTGGATCTTTAAGAAATTCTTCTGTTACATATTGCTATTCCCCATCGGTGGTCTACACAAATAAGCTTCATTTACTGGAGCTGAGTCTCCTGTGGGTCTGGGGGATGTTTTTCCTAGAGCATGTTTTCTAATGAAGGTATAGAAACAGCATTATGCTCTACGTTTAGTGAATGGTTTAAAGTCACCTATTTGTAGAGATTGTCTGCTGGGGTTGTGCATGTTGTAGATGTGCTCTCAAAAATGGAAGACTATGGATAATCTTATATATGATGAATTCCAAATGCATATAAAAATTAAGCACTTTTTTCTCCTATTTCTTGTATAACAATGTGTTTACGTTTTGAGTGTAGGAGGAATGCACTAAAACAGGAAAAGTCACATCTGCTGGAATGTATTTCCTTGGGTTTCCTACATATCGGTTGGATCAAACAGTGAACTCGGTAAATTGATAGTGCTGTGGAAGATACTACGTTTGCCTTTCTATTTTCAGCTTATATGCTTGCTCAATTTCTCCGTTCCTTTTGTTCTTTAAGCTTGCGGCTGCCAAGGATGCCGATGCTGCTTTCTTTAAAAGGCTAGATGGCTTTCAACCTTGTGAAATAAATCAATTGAAGGCTGGAACCCATGTTTTTGCTGTCTATGGTTAGTTCAAGATTTTTCCTTTTCCTTTTTTTCCCTTTGTTAAATATGTATATCTCCTGATTTAGATGCATTAAAAGGGCTGACTTCTTTAATTTGGTCGCTTGTTTCAGGTGACAATTTTTTCAAAAATGTAAATTATACTATAGAAGCTGTTTGTGCTGTACCTTTTGGGGAAGAAAAGCAGACTCTTAGAGCCGTTGAAGCTGAAATTCTTGAAAAAAGGACAGAAATATCGAAGTTTGAATCTGAATACCGCGAGGTCTGTAATTATCCATTGGTTGAAGTCCATCGTGGATGTGATTTACTTTTGCTAACTTCGTTTGTAAGCTTGACAGGTGTTGGCGCAATTCACAGAAATGACGGGTAGATATGCCCAGGAGATGCAAGAGGTATGACATATGCAGATTTTGTCCGATATCATTAGTTCACATCACTGGATAGTCTTCTGATCTATGTCTTGATCAATGCAGATTGATGAGCTTCTAAAACAAAGGAATGAAATTCATGCAGCCTACACAGTTGTACCACCAATGAAGCGGAGTATAAGTAAAAGTAGGAGTAAGGGTTCCTTCAAGGAGAACCATGAAGTTGGACAAGCAAAAGATAAGAAATCTTCAACAAGAGATAGACCAAAGAAAAAGAAATGGTTCAATATCCACATAAAAGTAGACAAGAGAAAGACTTGCTAATCCATGTAAGGGACACAAACTTCACTGCCGTTCTTCCTCCCAATTGTGTTTCAGGAACTATGCTTCCTAATCTTTGATTCATCTCTGCAGAATAATTCCGGAGGCCGAATGATTCCTACTATACTTTTCCTTTGGTGATTCGGCTCTGATGGCTTTTTTCTACTCCAACCATAATTGGTTGCTGAATGATTACTACTATACTTCATGACTAATGATGAAGTGTGAAGACGGTCTTCTTGTGTATATTGCTACGTCAACAGCTCAATGTTATGTAAAATGTAATCTTTTTGATGGGGAGTTTCCCCTTTCCTAGGCTTTTCTGTTCTCTTTTCTTCCCAGTGATTGCAAGAACCATACCTGTACATTTGCATAATCTATGCAATATATTTTTTGTTCGTTCAAGGCGAACTACGTTGTCACCATTGGCTCCTTGGCAACTAGGTAAGCCTCTCCAAAGCTACTATTAGCTGCATGCTGTTGTAATGGGCGTGGTTTCATTTTCGGTTTCCATACTCCGACAATTGTGATTATTCATTAGAGTCCAATCCCTGTTCTAGGAGTCGGAGGGAAGTTAGTGAACTGAAAGGAGTGACGGCTCAGGGGCATTAGTTTTTCTCATGAGTTAGTAGGTATGTCGTCTGTGTACTGTTTCCAATTTTTGCAGGATATGTCATGATGGTTCTGCAGTTAACATGCAACAATGTTCTTCGACACATTGGGCGGGTAGGCATTCATTCATTCATAATGAATTTGCCTTTACATGTTCACAGTATTGATCTAATCACACATGTGCCTCACCTCACCATCTTTCCCTGTCTTTATCTTGTAGGTGCTGAGCTTCTCCATCACTTGAGCAAACGCTTTGAAGAAAACCTTTTTGTTCTTTGCATAAAGCTCCACGAAAGGTTTTGTTCTCCGATCTGCAGCCAGGGCTTGATCCGAAGCAAGCAGCCATAGCCCCCTTGTACAGGTGCTGATAGTACATGTTGTCGAACTTCCCAGGGGTCATCACATCGTTGAAGGCGCTCATTGTCGGGTTCTTGGTGTAGTTTTGACACAGTTTCTTCAGCCCCTCCGCGTACTTGGGGTTGAGCGCCAGATCAGTTGGGGAAGTCCTGCTGAAGTTGTAAAGCCGGTAGCTGAACTCTCTACAAAGCGAGAAACCAATCATTGTATGGGCTCCTATCAGCGTCACCATTTCTTAGACCGTGTACCCTCTGGAGACAACTAAGGCAATGACCTGAGAGATGGGCATGGCCGGCTTCTGGAGGTTGGGGTCCACACAGGAAGCGTCGGAAAACAGCCCGTCTTTCCGGCCAAGACGGACACAATAAACGGGGCCACCAACCATGCTGACGAGGTTGCAGGCTGCGGCAGCGAGGATGTCGACAATGTCGGGACATTCGAGCTCGCGAGCGGTCTTTGCAGTTTGCACGAACGGCTGTCTCAAATGCGTCGCTCGGGATGTTGAGGTTGGGGTCACGTTGTGGAAGAGAGACTTCCGTGGAGGGAATGGAGTATTGACAAATTTGGAGTCGGATTGTATTTAACTTGTCGAATTCATCTTGCCATAGTAGAGAGATATCCTGCCGTGACTTGCATTGAAATTTAGATGAATTGATCAAATCTAAACCATTGAAGTTGAAAAAATCTCAACCCAGACAATTGATTGGAACTGGAAAAAGTTTACACCTAAAAGTTATTCACATTTCTTTGATAGTGTTTTCAGGCAGTTAATCTTTTTATAAAGTAGGCTTGGTCATAATAATGAATTTCATTTGAATCGAATCTTTTGGAGTTGGCTTTTATGATCGGGTCGTTTATGGGCATGAATGTTATATTTTTTTGTTGTTGCTGTTTTTCTATCCTAGATTTTTTGTTTTTTATTGAGAAACATTCTCACACACGGTTTAAGTGATGTCGGAGCGAGATCAAATCTGGAGGTTCACCTGTTTGAATCATTTTGGCTCTGCACAAAGATCCCCATTAAATGCCTGAGTGAACACCATAGCGGGTCTCGATTAAGTCAAACACATGATTCATTTTATATTAGATTTTAGTTTCAGGAATTTCAAATCTCTAAAATCTAGAGATATCAAATTTCTCTTAGTCAACGAGATTCCATATTTTAATTTGAGAGATTTTTTGTTACTACTATTTTATCTCTTTTATATTTATCCCACTAAATACTCTTACAAATAGATACTCAATATGTTTTTAGGGTAATGTCTGTTTTTTTATCCAAACCTTTTTTTCATATTCTTTTATATTATTCAAACCTATTAAAATGCTATTAATTAGCCAAATCTTTCGTATTGCATCAAAATATTTGTCATGTTTATGTCATCGTTAATAATTTTGTAACTCTTTTCTTAGTTAAAATACTAAAATTTTCTTTGTTAAAATACTAAAACGATAGGCGGTATTTACTGGTATAACGGTTGAACTACGATTTTACCACGATTTTATCATAAAATACCTTACCGCTAACTTTTCCAGTAAGATCTCCGGTACGGTTTCATGGACCATGTTGGCAGGTTGTTGTAGGGAAAGTCCATTTTTATGAAATACTAGAATCAATACCCGCGGCGGCTACCCAACGCCGCGAGGACTAAAGTTGCAGCATTGTGATCGTATGGTGGTCCGTTTAGATGACGGCAGTAAAAAGAAATAGTGTAATGAATGGGCTATAAATCAAACATATCAATCGCTTGGGTGGTTGGGGGTGGGGGGATGGGAGCATATAGAATCATCTTCAGCCACCTATGTATTGTTTCAGTTATCATAAAAGCAAATTAAGTTATCCTCTACTGGACCAAACTCTTCCAAATTAGCGTACCATTAGATACCTCTGTTATCTGCTGCTTCTTTGAACTGGAGCAGACAGAGAGCAAATGGTTGTTCAAGGCATGTACTGTATTGCTGTTCAATTTTCAGCCAAAGCAAGTGAGTTGTTCCTCTGCAAATCTCATAATGTCACTGTAAGAAGGAATGCGTTTCATTATATTTCTGATGTGAATATACAAAGTAAGCTCAAGTTCAAATGAAAGTGCATTGATAATGTGAGAAACATATCTCTGTTATTTTGATTCTGTCTGCGCAGCTAAAGCCAAACCCTTGCAAGGCAAATAATCAATGCCGCGAAGTTTCTAACTAAATAACTCTGCTTACACCTCGATAATGAATTCGCAATGCTTCAACAGTGATGCCTTCTTTGATAGGTTGTTCCACTTGATTGAATGATGGGTATTTCTGCAAGACAATTACAGTTTCAGATCACGCAGACACACACATCAAATGTTTTAGTTTGAACAACTATATATAAAACTACATATTCTTTTATCTCTCACCATTCCCTAAAACTCTTTCAACTCTTTTATTCCAAACACTCTGAAGAAACACGACCACAACCAAATAGTCTCTTGTCCAATCTTCCATCATATTTTCTTTCCTTTCAGTTTAAATGTTATGCAAGGAACTCAAACCTTCTGTACAATGAATGGGAGGATGGTTAAATCATTTAGAAGAATGCATACCTGCATCACCATATGCATCCTTAGACCTACAGTCAAGTCAATGCGAAAACGAACACGAGTCCATTGAAAGCACAACACTGAAAGAATAACAGGGTACTCTGTACAAACTTCCAAGTTTGTTAACTTAAATAACTACCACAGTGCCACAGCACCGGAGAAGCTAACTATAGTAGGTCGACCTATTGTCATATCAAGTAACCATCAACCACATTCTCGTCGGTTTCCAGCACAGACTTATGCAACAATCAGACATGAAGCACATGTGGATTAGGACATTATTCTCTATCCAATCAGTAGATATATCCAAACTATAAGTGAGCTAATGCACAATGGACTTTAAAGCAGTCAAAGGAATACCTATAAATGACAAAGAATATGAGTATCAACCTGCCTTTCTTTTGAAGCATAAGAAATTTAATGGTGCAACAATATCATAGCACGAACTGGAGCTCCAGAGGCATAGAACTGAGACACAGTCGAAGACAGCAGGAGTAATGAGTGAGCAAAGCAAAGGATTGGATAGATAATCGAACATCACTACGTAGCCTCATATCATATCAACAACTCATAAGTCTAAATAGAGTTGATATGGCATTTGGATCTCAATTTACCTTGGTATAACTATTACAACGGTCTCAATTTACCTTGGTACAACAAATACAATGGTTGACTAACAACCTTAAGGAGTTGAAGCTCTCTTTCTGTCATGCTCTGTGCGTAACTAATCCTATTGTTTCACCTCAGCATAGAGTAACAATGGATTTAAAGAATGAAAAACCAAATAGGATAAGTAAGATCTTAATATGACCTTTATGTTTCCCTATGAGTTTTCCAGTATACAGATAAGGGGGGTTTTGTAGTCTAGTCCTTCACTTGAATTTCAAGTCGTCTAGATAGTTTTCCTGATAGGATGGATAGACAACACTCATACAAAAACAATGAACACTAATAGAGAGAAACGGAAATGGAAAAGGATTATTTTTTAATAGCTGGCCTGAAATTGAGTAATTTCAACGTGACAGCTGGCAAGGAGAGAAACTATTGTAGAAGCACACAATCAAGAAAAAGGTTGTACATCAATCCAAATCATTCAAATGGAGAAGCACACATGAATTTAGCTTGTAATGGCCTTATCCTCTAATTACCTTTAGTATATAGCATGATTAGAATATGGCATAGGAGACGGCAAGTAGCTAGAACGTAGGTGGCATGTAATTAACTCCTTAGTTGATGTCAACATAACAGAAAAATCATTGAAGTATTAGAAAATCATGTGTGGCACATCTAGTTTTAAAACTTAGAAAGCAACTTGAATTTTAAGTGTCGTTATCCTTCTTACCTTCCTCTACCTCTCTGGATTGTCCTAAAAATGGATCAGGTTGCTGTTGCTGGTAAATTCAAGTCGATTCCACTGTCTGTTGGAAACCATGGCATTTCATTCTATTTGGCCAATTTGATGGGTTTTGAATGCACTTGGTCCATCTCTATGGTTCCTTGTATCATGTAACAAAATATTAAAGATGTTATTGCAACCCAATGTCACACAATATTACACGAAAGCGAACCCAAGAGTAAAGGCAAACAGCTAGCTACTGTAGAAGAACCCATTGAACTTTTATGGAGGCAAACTGCGGGCTTGAACGCTTACCCCGTTTGGAGAACTCCAGAGGAATATGCAAAGGAAAAAGCAGTGAGATCAGCTCACCCACATGATCGTCTCTGAGGGTTGCGACAACCCTGGATACATAGACTTCATGTTCTAGTGTTGCGTTTCTGGCGAGGATCCAAAACATGAATGTGAATCTTTAAAAATGAAATTCACAAAAGCAGTGACAGTAATCAATCAATTTATTTTCAGTTCTGAACAGAAAATGCACCTAATATGGTGAATAAGCGGTACCACTGGAGGCTCGTCATTTTCAAATCGCTGATCAGATAAGCAATCAGAGAAACCTCCTGCGATCTTGATGATGCTCTCGATCTGTCATTTTAATGTGTCAAGAAGCATAAACTGTGAAATTTGATCTAGAGGCATAATTAAGCAGTGGAATGATTTAATCCCATGAAAGAAAATACAACCCAGCATGGAACCATTGCATTCAGATGAACAATGAAAAGAAATCAATGAAGGGAAACAAACAACAACCAATACTAACAAAAGTTTGCACGAAAAACGAAATTAGAGAGATTCATGATGTTAGTTAGTTAAAGCATGAGATTAATAAACTACTGAAGTTCATTAACCTTGATTTTTTAGGCAATATTTAACCTCAAAGTTATGTTCTATCTTATCTACTCTTCAATTATTCCATTGGTTTGAAAAGACAGAGGAAATTATGCTTACTTCACTTTCAATGGAAGTTATATGGTGTTCTCATTTCGTCAGCAGTATAGACTCGTTTCAACTATTATGGAATGCAGTTGAGCTCGTTTCAACTACGGTATATCATTGAATATAATATAATGCAATTCATGGGTAAAACCCAAAGAACCTTATCCTTATGTTCTGATGTCATGGGAATATGCACCTGCATCAGTGTCGTCCGAGGTCCATCTGCAGCTAGATAATTCGTCTGTTGTATTGTTGTATTGTATGGGAAAAGCATTGGCTGACAGTAGTAACAATGCTTGACTTCCCCCATTTGGCATTGAGGTGCTGCTA